ATATCAGACAGAAGAACTCATGCACGGACTAAGGCGAATCTTAGGGAAAAATTCAAAATTAGTCCCACAGGTATAGGTGGTGACATTTTTGGTCCCAACGGAATCCAAAAAATATTAATAGTCCTGCAGCTTTTAAAAAATGATCAAAAGTAGGACTTTTTTCAATGTTTCGGCCCGGAATGCCACGTGGCCACATTCATCTGACGTGGCTGAGTACAATGGCAAGAAAAAAAAATCAAAACTAGTCCCACAGGTTTTGGGAGGTGACATTTTTTGTCCCAAAAGAATCCATAAAATCTTAAATAGTCCCGCCACGTGTGTGCCACGTGGCATTCTGGGCTGGAAAATTGAAAAAAGTCCTACTTTTGATTATTTTTCAAAAGCTGCGGGACTATTAATATTTTTTGAATTCCGTTGGGACCAAAAATGTCACCCCCCCCTATACATGTGGGACTAGTTTTGAAATTTTCCCCGAATCTTACATTGTTTATATTAGTTTTTCCAGTACTTATGCAATAGGAAGCAGAATATTGTATTTGGAATCTGCTGTGGATATCAAGAGACACTTTTTTGAACTATACCTTATATTTACCTAACAACACACATTTGTGACTTACCAAGATTATATTTCATTAGGCGAATCTTACATTGTTCCTACGGTATGTAAAAATATTCCAGAAATCGTACCCATACCACTGATAACATTGACTAGCACAAAACATTAACAGTTTATTACCATTTTTGAGACACAGCAATATAAGATGCTTTAATAATATATTTTAGAAGTCAACTGCATGAGTTTAGGTTCATGATACGGACAAAACAAGGACAGAGAATATCGTTCTCAGTGCATATTAAATGCTACTTCGAAAGATAGCTACAGTGTATTAACAACTCATCACTTGGCACCTTCATGAAGATCCAATAATTATTAAAGTGCTTTCAGTTATTATAGTTTTCCTAGTTATGTAATTTAACACGCTAATGAAGCATAAGGAACAAATGCAACCATCCGGAATGATGATCCTAAGGAAGGAATGAGGAAGTCATAAGAATCTGCTACTTAATATCATGTAGAAATAATAGTTCTCTGCTTACAGCAAGATCGCTGTTCAAAACATCGTTATTTAATAAAATTGCAATTAAAGCCAACATTTATGATAATACGAGATGACTAATGGAGTGTTAGTCCGGAATGATAATCGGAAGAAGAACACTGTTCAGGTAAGCAATGATAATCGAAAGAAGAACACATAAATGTACTCATCAGTAAACGCAAACAAGGAACAATGAAATACTATAAAACTCGGCCTGACTATGATGCATCTTCATTCACAGCCACCACAAAAGAACGCTTATTCAAACAAACATTATTCCGGAAAACACTAAATTCGAATTACCATCCACTGAACCAATTAACCGGCACAAAGTGAAGAAGTATGCATATATGAGGAAGAGAAAAATTAAAATATGATCTTTTTGAAAAAAAATGTAACCTACACTCGGCAAAAAGATGTATGTATAATTAAGGAATGAATAGGTGTTTACCTTAACTGGTACCTGGGAAGAGCTTATAGTTATGCCCGACGGAGATGGAGTTTTGTATAGGACCAACAAAAATTGCGATAAATACACAAAAAAAAATAATAATATTAAGTAAATAAATAAAGTTGTAATTGAGGAGAGATCGATGGAGAAGATGAAGCACGCCGACGAATGTAAAGCGAAATCGACATAAATTGAAATGGAGAAGACAAAAATGGCGAATTGGAGCTCACCTTAATTAGCCCGACGGAGACAACGAAGCAACAAAGTTTGGTCTGCGCGAAAACTAGGGTTCATAAGACGAAGAACGCCCACGAATCGAAGGCGAAATCGAAATAAATTGAAATCAGAAAGAAAAAAATGGCGAACTGGAACTCACTTTCTAGCCCGACGGAGACGATGAATCTTCACAACAATGGTTTGCCTGCACACAGAAACTAGGGTTCATCGGGGCTAA